TAATGCAGCTCACGCAGCAAAGGTGTTACACGTGCCATCCTAGGGGCATCTAAAATTGCCCATGCAGCTGCATTTTGAACCAGCTGAAGCTTCCGGATGCTTTTCAAGGGTAGCCCCATGTAGAGCACATTGCAATAGTTTATCCTGCTTTTATTATTTTTATAAATAACCCAAGGCAGCGAACATGCCTAATACTCCTTCCTCCTCCTGTTTTCCCCACAACAACCCTGTGAGGTGAGTTGGGCTGAGGGTGACTGGTCCAAAGTCACCCAGCTGGCTTTCATGCCTCAGGTGGGACTAAAACTCACAGTCTCCTTCTTTCTAGCCTGGTGCCTTCACCACTGGACCAGTGTTTCTCAACCTTGGCCGCTTGAAGATGTGTGGACTTCAATTCCCAGAATGGCTGGCTGGGGAATTCTGGGACTTGAAGTCCACACATCTTCAAGCGGTCAAAGTTGAGAAACACTGCCCTAGATCAAACTGGCTATTTTAGATTCTGAATGTAGATCTAACGATCATAAGTCTATGATAAGTCTCTTTCGCCATGCTGAGGATTCTGGGAGTCGTAGTCTAACCATGCAGCGAGCCTTAAATGGCTTGTGAAAGACGCGCCGGCGCCGGTAAGTGACGTTGAAGCTTTCGTGTGAACGTGGGCGGTGACGCCATCAGACGCGTCTCTGTCGCGGGGCATCTTGGGATTGCTCTCCCTCGCATCGCTTTCGTGCCGGTGGCGTGAGGCGTTGTTGTGGCGTCTCTCGCTCGGAGGATGGCCGGTTTCCGCGCTTTAGGATTATCCCCCTGGCTGGCGGCGCAGGCGGAGCAACTGGGCCTGTCGAGGCCCACCCCGGTGCAGGAAGCCTGTATCCCTCCCGCGCTGCAAGGTAAGACCCAGAGAAGCGCGTCCCCGCCAAAGGAACTGGAAGGCTCGCCGGACCTTCAACGGGTTTTAGAGCCCCGCCCCCAACATGCCCTATTGGGACAGGGGGCGACCAAAGCTAAGCGAGGTTGGACCTGATGAGCCCTTGGATGGGGGACCAACAGGAAATTTATGGGCTGGGGAGGTGAAAAGACCGCTTATGCCCATGAAGTCGTGAGGAGTTGCGTTGACTCCAAGGGAGACTTTATTTAAAACAGCCTCTTTGGAAAACCTCAACCATTTTTGCAGCCTTGCCTCCTGTGAAGTTCTGCTCCATTCCCGGCAGACCTACCCAGGAGAGTCTTGTGCACTTGAAAGATTGTTTTATTATCGCAAGGATCCCACTCCGTCAGATGCATGGAATATAATCCAGAGGATAAATTTGGGACCAGGTTACTTATAGGACTGTCTCTCCCCAGTTGTCTCTCCCCGTCCTACAAGAAATGGGGCAGGCTCCCCATACCATCAGTAAGGAGTGCCAGCTGGTGAGGCCCAGAAGGAGTACCTTTTCTGCGGTGGCACCTGCCCTTTGGAGCATCATCCCCCCGAAATTAGATTGGCCCCCTCCCTGTTGGCATTTCATAAGGCCTTAAAAACTTGGTTTTGTGCCGGAGCCTGGGGCCCTGGGCGTGGGATAGAGCCCGTCTCCTGCCTGTGTGGATGATTGGTTGGATAATGCCTGGCTGCTTGTGTTTGATTTTTATTTTTTATATTGTGTATCTTATGTATTTTATTGTATAAGCTGCCTAGAGTCATGTAAAAGTGAGATGGGTAGCTATATAAATCAAATAAATAAATACCATAAATAAATTTGTTAGGGTTTAAGGTTGTCCAAGCCTGAATTTTGCTGTTAAAAAACCTAATATGGTTACCCTTCCCTGGTGTTTTGCCCAGCCCACATGTAACATGTCTTGGTGGTTCATGAACATCTGCAGACAGTCCCTTTCTTAAGCCCTGCCTCTCATTTCTAATGCTTCCATTCAGTTCAGTCTCAGACCTGTATTTTTCTCTAAGTCAACTAGTCACAAAGACCACTGCATTGATAGCTGAGCCCTGCAGCCCTTCCCAATTAACGTTTGAATCTTTCTTCGGCATTTTGGCCCACATGTCCTCTCCTTGGTTATTCTCATGACTCCACAAGTTGGCTGTAGGGAAAAGAGTGTCTCTGACCACACACAAAGCGCGCCTCACTTTTTGCCTTTACATCAAGCTGTCCTGCTCCGTCTTGCTCCCATAGGTCGTGACTGCATGGGCTGTGCCAAAACAGGAAGTGGCAAGACAGCTGCCTTTGTGCTACCCATCCTGCAGAAACTTTCTGAAGATCCTTTTGGCATCTTCTCCCTGGTGTTGACACCAACAAGGTAGGGGCAGGTATAGGTTGGGAAAAGACACTTATCCCAAAGAGGTGTATATGTGAGTCCTTGGTTTGATCTCTGCCCAAATGAGCAGCACAAAGCAAATATTTGTGGAAGCAGAGAAGCAAGGTCAAAAGGCTCCCTTAATGGCCCTGGAAGGCCTGGTAGCCCAGAGGAGAACTATACTAAGAAGGACAAAGCAGGCTTGTGATAAATTTCAAATGGACAATTAGAGATTTCACTAGAAATACAGTTTACTTGAAAATACATTGTTACTGAAGGACTTTGAGGAGAAAGTCGATATTCTGGAGATAATAAAAAGAGGTTGGAAATACTGAAGCACCCTCATGCTGGATTCTCCTTTACCTGCAACAGAATCAAAAAGGAAGTCAAAGGGCCAAAGTCTTCTCTGACACTGCAGATGGCTTTAATTTTAATATTAAACAGGACAAAGTAATCTGTCTGAATAAAATCTTGTATTAAAGAGAACATTGTGCCTTTAGATTAAAGATCTAAAGAAGGCTAAAGGGAGACATGTAGCAGTCTTCCGATACATGAAGGGATGTCACAGGGAAGAGGGAGTAGATTTATTCTCCCTAGCACTTGAGGGTAAGACAAGCTTTACAGTGAGAGGTCCAAACTTGAACTAAGGAGGAATTTCCTGATTGCAAGGGCTATGAAGCAATGGCACGGGCTGCCTCTGAAGTTGTGGGTGCTCCATCACTGGAGGTTTTCAAAAAAAGACTGGATGGCCATTTGTCCAGAATGGAATAAAGTTACCTGTGCTGGGCAGGGGGTTGGTCTAGAAGACCTCCAAGGTTCCTTCCAGACCTGGGATCCTGTGAGTATATTCTAGCTGTGCGCATATTGTCAGGAGATGCCTCAAAGCCAGTTGTTTCTCAAACATGGCAGCTTGAAGATGTATGGACTTCAATTCCGAGAATTTCCCAGCCAGCATGCTGGCTGGGGAATTCTGGGAGTCAAAGTCCATACATCTTCAAACTGCCAAGGTTGAGAAACACTGCTCAAAACTAAATAGGTATCTTGAGTGCTTATATAAGCAGAAAGGTTGGACATGAATTTAATACTAGTAGTTAATGAATATTTTAAAAGAGCCTTTACTTCTCTTTTTGCCTCCCCTTCTCTGCTAGAGAACTGGCCTATCAGATTGCTGAGCAGTTCCGTGTCCTTGGAAAGCCTCTGGGCTTAAAGGATTGCATCATTGTCGGGGGAATGGGTATGTCAACTTTATTTGGAAAGTGGAAATTCCCCCATCTCCTTAAACAAGTTATCTTAAGCCCTGTGAAGCTGCAGAAAATGTTTATTTGGCTGCTTCATACACTGTGGGATAGGACATGTGGTTCTTTTGAAACCTTTTCTTACAAGAGGTGCTAAATTTTTTCCCTTGATGGCCTTGCAGATATGGTCTCTCAAGCTCTGGAACTGTCTCGGAAGCCCCACGTTGTCATTGCTACCCCTGGTCGCCTGGCTGATCACCTACGGAGCTCCAGTACCTTCAGTCTTCGAAACATCAAGTTCTTGGTAAGGCAGTTGCATAGACCAGTGTTTCTCAGCCTTGGCAACCTTAAGATGTTTGGATTTCAACTCCCAGACTTCCCCAGCCAACATGTTGCCAAAGTTGAGAAACGCTGGCAAAGAGCCTTAACTTAGAATAAGGAACCTGGGTAGCAAAGGCTGGAGAGAAAAATCTGTCTGCTCTACTATTAGCACGAGTGGAGAGTTTCAGTCATAAGTACTTTCCTCTCTCTTTTTGAATATCAAAAACCTAGCAACTCCTCTGCTTTGATCAAAATTGCCAGTACTAAATTCTGCACTGAGCACACAACCACGTAACATACACCCCCTCTCCTTGCCAACTTTGTTTGTGGATTGTTCAGCCCCTCCACTTCCTTTTCCCCAAGCTTGTTTCCACATAGTAGGATTTGTTTTAAAACAATATAATCCATAAGAAGACTCTTGTTAAGTCAATTTTTAAAAAATGACTTAAAAGGTTTTGGCTGTAGTCACATTGATTAAAGTGGTTTTTGGGTCAGCAAAGGGCTGAGTAAACAGATATCAGGGTGGTGCTGAAAGTCAGCTAGCATGAAGTGGCCAGTATGTTTTATCACACAGGTATTTCCCCAGTAGAAAAATGGTCCAGCCCGGGCTGCCTTTCAGATTCCCTTTGCCCTTTGGCCTGATCTTCATTAGTCTTTGGTGGTTCAGCTACAGCCACCTCCTTTCTCTCTTTTGGTTTTGGCTTAGGTCCTGGATGAAGCTGACCGGTTGCTAGAACAAGGCTGCACCGACTTTACCAAAGACTTGGAAGTCATCCTGGCTGCAGTTCCAGCCAACAGACAGACAATGCTCTTCAGCGCCACCCTGACAGATACACTGAATGAGCTCAAGACGATTGCAATGAACAAGCCTTTCTTCTGGGAATCCATATCTGAGTGAGTTTTGTTTCTTGGGTATGTTTTTTAAGGGGAAAAGAATTTGGGGCTCGGTGGGAAGGGGAGGAAGATATGATAGAGGGTTATAGAATTGTGTGCTGCACAGACAGAAGTTCTTCTCCCTCTGTCAACGTGATCCCAATGAAATTGGCAGTTAGGCAGTTAGCTTTTTAGTAGAAGAAAGCAATCTACACCTGATCTAGCCTTTACTGATCACAGTGGTTGTCTTAGGATTCAAATCAAGCTCCTTCCTAGCACTTCCAGGAGAAGCCAGGGCCTGAACCCAAGGCCCCCTTCTACCAGCACCCGTCTCCATTAGAAACTTGCCATCAACTTGGAATTCTTTGACCCAAGATGTGAAGGTGGTAGGTTACTGGCTATAAATTCTTCTTTTAAATGTCCTCAGTAAAGCTCAGAGTCCTGCTGGATTGGAGCAGCATATAAACCCCAGTAAACAAATGTTAAAAATAAATCTGTGAAAGAAAATAGGTCTGCTAACCATGAAAGAATTCCAGGTGTAGGAATAGACTTTCTCCCAATACCGGGCAGAAGCTGTAGAGGAGCACAGAGATGAGATGGTGTGTGGCCACTGTTAGTAAAACGTGAGCTTAGCCCAGAAAAACAAGGGTGAGAGGAAAACTGAAGGTTGCCTTGATTCTCTTTGGTTTCAGAGGGAGGGAAGGGGAAATGCTATCAGGCTTTCAAGATTCTGCTATTATAGCTTACATCAATAAAGTAGAGTCCCAGTATTTCTTGGGGTGTCTGTTTCCTGACCTGGCCTACCTTGAAGGGTTGACAGAAGCGAAGAAGAGCCTCTGCATTTGTGCCGTGCTTGGCACCTTCCCAAAGGCAGCTTGGAAACCAGGAGGCCAGGCCTGGCAGACCAGCAGGGCTTCAGTTATTTTCATCTGAAATGTGTTTGAACACAAATCTATCTTATCACGCTTGACCCAATGCCAAGATCGCCCAACATCCTGCTCTCTAATACTGGGCTGTTGGACATACCTGGGAAGTGAAAGTTTGAAGGCGCTGCCACCACAGCCCAGATGCCTCTCTTGCGAATCTTAATCGGTGGTACATTTTGGGGCACCATTCCATAATTTCACATGTGAATGGTGGTGAGGTTTGGTGTCCTTTTAGCAATATATTTTTGTGCTCTTCTTGGGTGCCCTCTAGGGCTGGCAGAGGTCATGGTACCCACAGACAATGTGGATAAATTAGACAATTGCAACAGTACTGTAGAGGGTCCTGTTGGGTATGCGGGCTGTTTGAGTCCATTCCATACAGGTGTGTCTGCAAAGTGTGGTCAAAAAAGTCAAGATGGCAGCCACAACAGTACAATCAAAGCTCCACCTGCTTTTATGTTCAGTGCACATAAAAGTGGAGCAGGTGCAGCTTCGATCACATGAAGCATCCTGCAGACATTCCTGATTGCATAGTTATCAAAGATCTCCCCTTCTTCTCAAGCCGACCAGGGAACTCAAATACGGAAGCCCTAACCTAATGGTTAGGAAGGAAAATAGGGGAATGGTGGACATTATCCTGACATGGACTGGGGTCCTGCATGGAGTTGTGAGAAGATTGCCTCTCAGTTGGAAATCTCCAAGTAGCAGGTTGGAGTTTCAAATCCTTGAAGGTACTTGAAGGTACCTGCCAGGGAAGGTGGCCATTGTTGCAGGAGTCCTCCTCTTATACCTCTACCAGGAACTGGCAGAGATTTGCTCCTCCAGCAGAATGGTTGGATGCATGGAAAAGACACGGTGGATCTTTACAGGGTGGAGATCCCTTGGTTGCATCCTTTGACATCAACAAGGAAGAGCATCATGGGTATTCAGGGGGAAGCCACAGTGACATCCGCAGCACCCCAGCAAAACAATGAATGGAAGCCGCGTGTTTCACATGGTCCCCGAGATGGGGTGCTCTTCACTCCTTCCCCAGGGAAGTCAAACAAAACCTGCTCCTTTCTCTTCCACATCAGCAGAATTTGTCTGAAGATCCTTTTCCTTCTATCCTGCAGTACCAGACGAGTAAGGAGGCTTGAGTCAAATCCCACAAAGTGACCGTAGACA